TTAAGTCAGGTCTTCCCTTGGGGATGGGGAAGAAGGCTGCCTGGCCATGGCTACCATATTGATTTCCCGTTGACCAGGAGTGGCTGTGGCTCTGCGGGCCCCAGAACGTAGGCTGTATGAAGCGGGAGGCTGTGTAAGATTAAACCAGTAAAGCGAACTGGTTTGTGGCTCCTGGGTTCAGCTCCAGTTGAATCCTGCTGCCATGCCTCCTCGCCTCTCTTTCCCGTCCCTCTTCCCGTCGTCCCCACCCTCTCCCTTTGGGAGCCAGAGGCCCCGCCATCCGCCAGCGTTGCTCTCTGGCAGCCAGGAGCCTCAGAAAGCAGTGCACACCTGACCCGGCCGTGCTGAGGGGCCTCTGCCGACTGTCAGCCCAGAGGCCCAGGGCTGCCTTGGTTCTGAGAAATTCAGATCTCGGCCATTGATCACAGCACCAGCCCAGGGCGGCTGGACACAGAGCTCTCCCCACTTAGGATGGAGAGATGGAGGCTCGGGTGGTGGGCTGGCAAGCCGGTATCACCCAGCAGGTCAGGAGAGGACCTCAAGTTGGGATGTGGAAGGAAGAGGGCAAACTACAAGGCAGAATTTTATGTATATCATCGGGTCAGGGGAGGGGGAGACACTGATCCTCACTTTATAGCTGAGCAAACTGAGGCTCAGAGACGTTGAGTGACATGTTAATGTCATACAGTGAGCTGATAGCCAGGTCGAGATTCAAACTCACATCCTTATGACTCCAAAGCCAGGCTTCCTTCCCCTGACAGATTTTATCATCTGACATCCAGGCCTGGGGCTACTGTCTGTAGTTGTATAATTGAATTAATCTTTATTTCTTCCAGTCATCCTCCCTCTCCTGCTCTCCCACCCTCTCCCTCTCTCTCATCTCTTTCTTTTCTTTCTTCCATCCTCTCCACCCCCCGCCAATATTTTCCTTTTTCTTCCTCCCTCCCTCTGTCCTTCCTCCTTTCTTCAATCCCCTCCTTCCTTCTTTCCTTTACATCCATTGGTCACCTACCTTGTGCCAGGCCCCCAGATTGATTACCACAAGGGGATTCATTGATGAACAAAATGCAGTCGGTCCTGGGGAGCTTACAGGGTGTTGGGCTGTACATGTCTCCAAATAACCACAGTGCAGAGCAGGCTGCTGGATCCCGAGGGAGGGAAGGGTGAGATGTGGCGGGATGCAGAGCAGGAGCCTGCTCACGGTTTCTCCTATTTGTCCACTTGTGCCTTTTTAAGCTTTGAGTGAGGAGGTGCACCTGGTTCCTAGAAATCTGAAATCATGAGGTGACTGTTCTGCTTCGCTCGTGCTGGTTGGCATTTTTGAACAGTGAGCCTGTCTCCTCCATCCTTTAGATTTCTGCGCTGCCAAGTCCAGCAAAAACTGACTAGACCGGAAGTACCAAGTGAGCAGGGACCCAGACGTCTGTCTTGTTCTCTGCTCTGTCACCAGTGCCTGGCGTGTAATGGGTGTTCTTGTTGAATGACTGAGTCTAAATAAGATTGTCCAAAGAGTTTTGGTCCTTTAGTTCTCAGGATCTCTCTTATCTGGGCTAGTGAAGGTTGAATTGCGGAGGTCCCTGCGGAGGTCCTTGGGGGCTGCTGATGGCCTGCTGAGACCTGGGGTTCTTGAGCTGCCTCTGGTTTCCATTGGCAATGGGCTGGGCTTGAGCAAGACTGTGTGTGCCTGTAGCCTCCTCCGGGACCACCTGGCTTCTGGGCTGTCAGCTTGGGTTTAGTGCTCCCACCCCTGAGAACTGCCTCAAAGGCAAGATTGCTCTAGAACAGATCTGCCCAGCTAGATGTCGGGAAATTCCTGTGTCAACCACCACACTGTTTTAATTACCGTAAAGCAAAAAGTCTCTTCTTTCATTACCCTTAAAAAAAAAAAAACCAGCATATAAATTTCAGTGGCCCCTTCTTCCAGCTGTGTGCCTTTGGGCAGGCAGCAAGATTTGAAAGCAAGATTGCTTAAGAGCATGACCTCTGGAATTAGACAGCCCAGACCCTGGTCCTGGGGGACAGACATAACACTTTGCCACCTGCCAGTGGTATGACCTTGGATAAGTCCCTTCCCTCTCTGAGCCTGTTAACTCATCTGTCCGCTGCTCTGGCTAGAAACTGCAGGGTCATTTCTGATTCCTGCTGCTTCCTTAGCCTTTACACTCGGTTGACTAGCAAATCCCTCTAGCTCTCCTTCCAGATTTCTGTCCCCTGTCCACCTATGTGTCTTTTTGACCACTGCCACCTCCCTCACCTTAGCTACTGCATGGACTCTTGCAGTAGCACCTACATTGCTCATTGTATCACTCTTGCCCTCCCCTCCATGATTCATGGGCCAAGAGGAATTCTTATTAAAACCCAAATCTGACCACTTCACTCTTCCAAGTATGGACCTTCCTTGGTGTCTCGTTTGCACTCAGCATAAAATCCAGACCCCTCCTCATTGTGCCTTCAAGGCCCTGACATATTTGGCATCTGCCTCCCTCCGCATCACCTCCCACCCCTCCTCACTCCTCCCCTCATGTTAGAACACGTCAGATTGTTTCCTGTCATAGCCTAGGGCCTTTGTATGTTCTGTTTCCTCTGCCTGGAAACTTCTGTAGTCTCATAGCTAGCACCTTCTCATCCTCCGACAGGAGCTTAGAAGTCGGCTCTTTAGAGAAGTCACCCTGTCTAAAATTAGATGCCCCTATACCCACTGTTTTATCTCAGCATGCTGTTTCCTTTTAGCACTTATTCAGAATCTCAGTTACATGTCTTAGTTATTTTTGAGTCTGTTTTTATTGTGTTTCCTAATAGAATGTAAGCTCCCCAAGGAAAGAGACTGTATATTTTGTTGGTTGTTGTATCCCCTGTGCTGAGTAAGGTGCCTGGCCCACCCTTGGTATTCAGTAGCTGTCTGTTGATTGGATGGATGGATGGATAAATAGGTGGAGGATGACATGGTATCAGGGTACATAGTAACACTTACTAAGTAAAAGCTACTACATTTTCCTACTACCAGTTCAACTCTTCTATAGCAGGTACCAATACAAACTGGCTTAAACAAAACAGAGGCTTTTACCAGCTTAGGTAATAAAAGTCCAGGGAAGTCTGGATTCAGGGGCTCAGATGATGCTGTTAGGGCACAATTCTCAGATGGACCCACTCCATAGCAGCTCAGCCTCACTATCTTTCAGCACAGAAGTGGTACTTCCTATTGAGAGCTTCCTACCCTAGAACTGTAGCTGAAAAATCCTAGGGAAGGCTCTGATTGGATTGGCTTTGGTCGTGTGCTCATACCAGAACCAATCACAGAGAAAGAGGAAAAAAAATACCCCCAAAAGCCCAAAAGCAATCATTAATTCTGTGTAAGAATATAGATGATTTATCTTCTTTGCCTTTCTATACTTTCTAAAATAAATATTTATTACTTTCATAGTGGAAAAAATGAGAAACATTATTAAAAACAAAAACTGAGGAATAGGCTCACCTATTACATTTTAGAAACATGATCTCTGCAAGCCCTTCACCTCCTACACAGATACAGGAGTTCTGCTCACTGTTGGGAAATGCAGGCATGATGGTCCTTCCAAGACACCTCCCCGACAGGGGAAAGCCAGGTGACCTGCCCCCATCCCCATGGAGAGCCCCTGGTGAGGGTTGGGGGTGGGGAGCTGCAGTCCCATCTCGTTCAGTTCTCCCAGTAAATTCTGAGACATCTTCCTGCCTTTCATCCAGGCTGCTAGGACTTCCATAGAGTGGATTAAGTGGCTTATAAACAAGAGAAATTTATTTCTTATAGTTCTGGCACCTGAGATGTCCATGATCAGGATGCCATGCCAGTGGATTCGATGACTGGTGAGGACACACTTCCCATTCCACAGACAACCATCTTTGTGCTGTGTCTTCACATGGCAGGAGGGGCCAGGCAGCTCTCTGGTGTCTCTTTTATAAGGCATTCATCTCATCTGGAAAAGACCATCCTCATGACGTCCCCAAGGCCCCACCCCTTAATACCATGACCTTGGAATTAGGTTTCAACATGTGAATTTGGAGTAGGGTGGTCACAAATGTTTAGTCTGTAGCAGGAGGCAGTGCTTTTATCTCCAGTATAGGATAGAGATAGAGAAACTGACAGGGTCACTGACCCGAGGTCACCTAGATGGTAAGTGGTGGAGCCAGGATTTATATCCAGGAAGCCTGGCCCCAAAGCTGGGGTCACAACACACACACTCTTAAAATTCTCATGGACAGGTCCATGTTGTATATTCCTTCTGTGATGCCTAAGCATCTTTCCTTTTTTAACATTTCATTTTATTTTTTGGTGGAGGGGGAGATAACTAGGTGTTTTTATTTATTTAATAGAAGTACTGGGGATTGAACTCAGGACTTTATGCATGCTAGGTATGCACTCTACCACTGAGCTATACCCTCACCCCTTAAAGTTTCATTTTGAAGTAACATTTTCTGAATCTAGTTACAACTGTTCATTGTAGGAAAAATTTTAAATGTAGAAGAGCTCAAAAAATAAAATAAAACCCTCTACAGCCACGTGACTTTTTACATTCTTTTGTTTTAATCTGTATATATTCAAGTTCACTGTTTTGGGTGTACAGTTCTGTGAGTTTTGATCGGTGGTAGTTTGTATGGCTCTCCCTGTAGGTGTCTAAACCCCCCAGCCCCAAATCTGAGAGAGTTGCAGGGGGACTGGAAGTGGCTGGAGTTCAGTGTGGGTGGGGGGTTCCCCAGACGATTCACTGGGAAGAGGGCGATGATCGTGCTCCTCGTTGACTCAGGTCAGACTCTTTGGAGGGGGGCCGTGAGGCAGGGGAAGGCTCTCTGTCTGTGGCCTGGGAGCCCAGGTATCCTGGGCGCCTCCCCCCGGCCCCCTGCTGCGTGTCCTGCTGGCGCCTGCGTGTCTTACATGCAGCACCTGCTGCGGGAGGTATGTGCTGACTCCCCAGCTCCCAGGCACAGACTATTTTTGGCCGCAGTGACTGTTCACTACAGTCATGAAAACAAACTCCTCTGCCTACCTCGTCCTTCCCTGGGACACCACACCAGGGGCCAGGGCTGCTGGGGACCCTGGGCGCCGGCCCTCATCATGCATTGCCTGTGGAGCTGGATGACAGCCAAGGCTACGAGAGGCACAGGGACCCCACCGCCTGTGGTGCTGCGAGAAGCCCGAAGCCTGGACCAGCCTGGGCTGGAGGGTCGCGAGGTAGGCACCGGGTCTGGGATCTGGTGGCCTTTCCATGGGTGCCTGGAATGAGGACGTTTGGCTGGGCTCCGGGTCTTTGCTTTGCTAACCGTCTGTAGAACACGTCTGGAGAAATCTACATTGTTGGGATAGAACATAATTCCAGTTCATTATTTCATTCCCTGTCTTTCTTGTGGTAAAGTGGCTGGGGTGGGGGGTCCCGTCAGAATCTGACTCAAGTAGATCCTCCCCATCCTTCTAGTGAATGGTTTTTGGTCCATTCGTGCTTTTGGTTTGAACAGAGCACACACTTGTTTTGAGCCTGCTTCTTCTGCTAGGAGCTTAAGAAACCAGAATTGTGTGGGCAGGCCCAGTGCTGCCTCTCAGTGCTTCTGGTCAACCAGATAAGAGGAGCCAGGCTGTGTAGAGGCCATGAGTGCTAGCTTTGGAGTTCCGTGGACCAGGGGCCAGCCCAGGCTCCACTGCTCACTTACTGTGTCTTACGTGAGTAACCTCATCTCTCTGAACCTCACTTTCCTTAGCAGCTAGGCAGTTGTGTCCAGGTCACTTCACAAGTGACCATAGTACAAGGAGTTACTGTTATGATGACATTGGGTGTGAAAAGAGGAAGCGTGTGGAGAGAAGCTGAGTAAGAATCAATGTGCCCCAGCCCTGGGTGGGTCATAGGGCTCAGCTCAGAACCTGGGTATTTGGGTGTAGCCAGTGCTGTGGGATTTGCTGCTGCTTCACAAACAGTAGAAAAGTGTGTCACCAGAGTGAGTGTGGTTTGAGGTGGGTAAGAACATGGGGCTGAGGATTTCTGCCCATTCACCATCTTTTGAGCCACCAAGACATTAGGGACTTGCCAGGCTCCGGGTAAGGCCAGCAGCCCAGAACCCCACTGCTTCCGGATTCCACAGGGCTCTAGGCCCACGAGGTGAGCATGTGGCGTGGTATTCCTTAGGCCAGCACCTTTGGAGAAGAATCTCAGGGCAGACCTCAGGGAAGTCTCCCCCTTGGCTCACCAATTAGAGCAGCTCAGATACCTGGCAGGAATGAAATCCTTATATCTGGGTGAGGAATGCCCACCATGGAAAACAGTGAACTCTCCCAGGGGTGGGTACATTCTGGTGTTGGTCACTGGCAGGGCCCTGGTCCTAATGCTGATGTTCTGGTAATCCAGGCAGGTCTCCTCCCCTCTCTGAGCCTCGGTTTCCTCCTCCGTAAAATGAATGGTGGCCTTGGTTGTCTCTAAGGGTCCTTTGAACTCTGCCTTTGACCTTGGCAGAGGAAGGGTTTCTCTCTTTCTTCCCGGCCTCAAGAACACCCATCGGCCCCTTTACACCCTCGGCCCCTGGTGGCTCTGGCGATGGCCTCCTTGGCTTGAGTCCTGGCTCCGGGGCGGCTGTGGGGTAGGAGTTGTTTACAGGGTTTCTGGAAAACTACAGAGAGGGGCTGCCTCCCTCCAAGGTCTCCCGAGAGGTCTCAGTCTCCTGCTTGGACATCATGGGGCAGCTCTGAAACAATGGGCCCCTGTCTTCAGCCGAGCAGCCTGGTTCTCAGGTCTCCAGCTCTGGGCTCACTTCCTGCAGCCTGTCTCACCGCCCCCCCCCACCAGACAGACTGACAGACAGCCCCAAAGACAGACCGCATGCTTAACACTGGGCTGTGCCCCTCTGGTGGAGGGGTCTCTGATTTGTCTCCTGGCCCCACTGGGGGCCCCACCAGACTCTGCTTCTGGGGCCAGGCATGTGCCAGGGCCCTGAGTCAGGTCGCTGTGCCCTGAGGCCTGTTTGCCAGTCTGGGTGCTCTGCCAGGGGTGGGGGCCTCACTGGCTGCACTCAGAGTTCCCATCCATCAGAGCAGATGCAAAGAAGACAGAGGAGACTCGCCCCGGAATCCTCTCTTGAATGGTATGTTTGCACGGGGGAGAATTGGAAGGGGGAGAGGTTGGGGGCCAGCAGGCAACAAAGCCCACTGCAGACATGGCCACTCCTCAGAGCCCCTGTTTATGTCTCTCGGGACCTTTACCCCCAGGAGAGCTAGGGTCCCCCATGGGGAGATGCATTTCAAACCAGACCCCACTCCCTGCACCCTCTGCATTGGATTCCCAGGCAACCCAGCTTGCCAGGACTGTCGTCCTGGGCAGTTACTCACCACCACCCCCTACCCCAAAGTGTCCCTGTTGGGGGCCCTCCTCTCCCCCAGCTGCTTGTCTTCTTCTCATCTGCTATGTGAACAAGGGTCGTCAATGAGGGCCTCTGAGTCTGTGGAAACTGCTGCCCAGGACAGGGCCAGGGTAGGGACAGGCTTCTGACCCCCCAGCTTCCTCAGCTCTGGTCCCTCCTCATGCAGGGTGGGACTCCCCACCTGCCGGCTCCTCAGAAGCCAGGCATCACCCCAGGGCTAGGGGAGCTCTTTGACTGCAGTCAAAGCCTCCCCCTGTCCCACCCTGACCCCCGTCTTACTTCTGAATGTTCTCTTTCTTGTTTGTTTGTTTTAGAGTGTTTTGTTTTTGACTTGAGTTTTACTGTGGAGTCTACTGGACAGTAGTGGGGTTCTTTCCCTCAGTGAACCAGCATCCTGAGGGTAGAGAGCCCCCACCGTAGAAGCCCACCCATCTCCTCTCTCCATGTTGGGAGTAGCATGTATTGGGGAAGCACACAGCCCCGAACCTGGTGGGGGGTGTGTGTGTATGTTTCTCTAACACTGGACATATCTGGCTATTTTCAAACAGCATCTAGGAGTGGTTTTGGAAATGTGTGTTGGTGACACAGAGAAAGGTGACAGAATGTAGGCTGCCTAAGTGGCAGATGTGGGCCTGCCTCGTCTCTCCTCTGTGTCCCCTACTGCTGGTTGTGTGCTGGGGTTGGAAGACACATCATCACAGAGGGAGGCTGGAAGGAAGGAGCAGTGAGATCCAGGGCCACCAGGGGATGGAGCCCAACACAGCTGATGTGTGTTTGTTGAGTGGCTGAATGACCTATGAGATGAGGGGTTTCCAAACAACAGCCTGATCCAGCCCACTGCTGGTTTTTGTACAGCCTTTCAAACTAAGAATGTTTTTTAACTGGTAGGAAAAACAAAACAAAGCAAAACAAGACTATTTTGTGACATGTGAAAATTACATGAAATTCAAGTTGCAGCGTGCGTACTTAAAGTTTTATTGGCATACAGCCACACCCGTTTGTTTCCATATTGTGTCTGGCTGTTTTGATGCTCTGATGGAAGAAATGAGTAGTTGTGACAGACCATATGGCCTGCAAAGCTGAAAATATTCCCTCTCTGGTCTGTCCCGGAAAAGTGTGCCAGTTCCTGCACGAGGTACCTTGGGGTTTGTAGGAGGAAGAATGGGGCCTGGGAAGGAGCCACAGACAGGCCTTCCCAGAGTATGGGGGCAGCCCTTGTGTGATGGTGGTGGCTATGGTGAGAGTGGATGCTGTCAGAAGTGGAAATCTGGTCTCAGGCAGAGTTGGAGAGCACCCGTCTCCTCCAGAGGGCAGAAGAAGGACTGAGGGGGCCTGGAAGGCAGGCTGAAGGGATTGAAAAGGTGTGTGGAGAGAAGACCCCCCCACCCCCACCCTAGGAGGCGTCCTACAGTTGCTTTTGCCCCCAGAGTCAGAGCTCACCCCAGCTGGGCATGGGAGTAGAGCATGGTATGGAGCCTGGAAAGCCAGATGTGACATGTGATGCCAGGTAGACTGTCCCGGGAGAAAAGAGGTCGCCTTATAGAACAAAGAAGTGGGCACCAGCACAGGCAGAGCCTGCTGGCTGTGGAGAGGTAGAGATGGCCATGCCTCAGCCTCACTGATCAGGCTGTGTGGCCTTGAGCAAGTTCCTACCCTCTCTGAGCCTTATCACCCATCTCAGGCTGTTATATGGATTGCATGTGCTGACCTCTAGTTCATCTAGCAGAGTGCCTGGCATTCAGGAGATGAGTAATAAATGCTCACCACTCACCCTTTCTTGACCCCCTCCTCATTTGATCTGCATCCCCTACACCCCACCCCACCCCACCCCATCTTTCTGAGGCTTTCAAGCCCAAACATACTAATGTGTAGGCCAGAGATAGCCACTCCCTGAAGAGTCTGCCTGGCTCCCCGGCTCTGCCTTGGGGGAGGGAGAGATGCCCCAGTGTATGGGAGAGCACGTCTCCTGGGACGTCTGTGAGCTTGGGCCTCGTGAGAGGACAGGCGGGAAGGAGATCAAGCCCCAGGGCAGTGGGGTCCCTGGCCAGACCCACCCTCTCAGACCCTTTCTGCCCTGGGCTACTTTGGCCAGACTCAGACCCCCACAGCCTTTCTGCCCTCATGGTCCCCCAGAAATTCTGATTCCATTGGTCTGAGGTGGGACCAAGTCATCAGGATCCTTTTTTAAAAGCCATCAGGGTCGAGAGCCACTGATCTGATCTAGCCAAATCCACTCATTTTATAAATGATGAAACTGAAGTCCAGAGAGGGGCAGGAACTGGCTCGAGGTCAAGAGGGTTCCAAGGACCAAATCTGACCCTTCTTGCGCTATGCTGGCCAGCTGGCTGGGAGGGGCTAGAGAGAAGCCCTTCAGGAAAGGGGCTGACTTCTCTCAGGAGGAACTTTTCTTCATTTCCCAGAGTTGGGATAGTGACTAGGACCAGAACTGGACCACCGACAAAACCAGTATCCCCCAGCTGTCTGCTGATATCCATGGAAACCCCAAGAGGCTGCCTGGCCCAGACCCCTCACTGCCTTAGCCCCTCCGGTGCCTCCCAGAATATCCGACTATTATCCAAGTCTCACCCCTCCCTCTCCCTCAGCTCCAGCAGTGGTGAGAAGGCAGGAAGGAACATCTGTCAGGTGCTCCCTTACCAACTGGAGGCTCCCAGCCTGGGCTGCCTTGGAAACCTTTGCCCTGCCCCTCTGCTGCCCTGTCCCTACTGAGCCCTGGCCTCAGAGGAGTGTACTGGCTCCTACGTCTCCATCCACAGGGTTCTGGGAGTCTACCTCTGGCCTCTCTGGTGTGAAAGCATCTGTTTGAAGGATCCTGGCCCTTGAATTAAGCCCCAACCAGAGATGCCCCTCTGCCCACATGCACCGGAAATCCAGGTTCGGCTGGTGGGCCTTAAATGCTGGCCGTGCTGATTGAGGCAGTTAGGTTACTGACCTCTGCTGTGCTCTAGGACCAGATAGAATGCTAAACACACCAAGTATGGGTTTGCTTCCTTGTTCTTCTGCCCGGGGCTTCCCCTGAATCCTGTCCTGAGCTGCCACGGGTTCTTGTATGTGGTCTACACACAGGTTGTGAAGCCACCTGACTGGTCATGGCAAAAGGGACAGCTCTCTGTTTCTAAGTATAGCTCCCAGGCAGCCCCGTGGCTGCTGGTAAGCCCCGGGATACCATCTGATACCCAGCCTGGCCTGTGACACCAGTGGCTGTCAGCTGCTGGGGGGAGGGACAGCCGTGCTGGCCCAGCCCCACCTTCTGCTACAGAGAACAGAACCAGCAGTTTAATGATCACACACTGGGAGTCACCTGTGCTCAACCGGCCCTGCCCTCTAATTATTGTCAGAAAGAATAACTTAATGTCACTGGAGAGCATTTAAGTTGTGGCTCGCAGGAACAGGCAGAGGCAGGGAGCCAGTGTGTCTTGTCTCGAGTCCTCGTCGCTCCACTTCCGAGCTCACGTGCTAACCTGGGGCTTGTTGGAGGTGGGGCATCTCCTACAATGGGCTCCCACAAAGGGCCGTGTCTCCCCTTCTTGGTTTCTTCTTTAGACAGAAGCTCGGGTGGGGTGGACTCCCAGCTTTCATCCCTTCTCCAGAGCTCTAGAGTATGGGCCCCCGGCTTTGAGGTACAACTTGGCATCTTCGTGTGCCTCCAGGCAGGTAGGGAGGTCCTCCTGTGGCCTTGGGGCCTCTCAGACCTGAGAGTGTTTCAGAGCAGCCTTACCTGCCAGGTTATCGGCAGCCCTGTGAGTTCACCTTCAGCGGGTGGAGACACTGGCTCCCTAATTTGCCTTTGGTTTAGAGATTATCTGGAAAAGTTGTATGCAAAATGCTCTGGTCCAAAATAACTTCCTAACTCAGACTTGGCTGTGCCTGTGACTGAGGGCAGGAGAATCACATCCATGTGTGAGGTTTGGTGGTGTCGAGCTGCAGGGAGGCATTGCTTGAGTTGTGACAGGAGAAGATGTCAGGGCCGCTCCCGGGGACTGGCCTGGCCTGACTGTTGTGTAGGCAGAGGTGCAGCTGAGGCCGGGGACGGGGTGGTGGATGCTTTTTCTTCGTATCATGGTTCCCACGGGCCTACCTCATGCATTTTCCTCTGTTGATTGAATTAACTATTGGTCTGAAGTCGCTCATAGGAGTTGGAAGGCCAGGGCTCTTTGCTTCCATGGTGATGGTGGGGTCCTGGTGCTTCCAAGGCCTGGCCACCGGTGCTGTGTTGCCTGCGGCACTTGCTGCTGGGCCGTCTTCACTCCCCATTTGCCTACAGAAGTGAAGCTTCAGAACTCACTGATCAGACAGACCTTCCAATGGCATCGGATTCTTCACATGGGGTCTCCATGCTGTGATCTGGGGGTCCCATGTAACCCACAGATGGAATTGTTTGGTCTGCACAGATTTGCATTAGTTACCACCATGTAAGAATCAGCCATTTTAAAGTAAGAATTCTGATTCCTTTATAAGAAGATCCAGCACCCTCCAGTAGCCTCCACTCATCCCCCAACACTGAGCGAGGGCAGAGGGTGGGTTTCTGATAAGCATCGCCCCTGCTGCTGTCAGATTTCTGTTGTTCAATAAAGAGGCAAGAGAAGTGTTTCTAGGACTTGTATCTCCATGAAAAAGATCAAGGGGCCACATCCCCACTCATTTCTTCCCAAGGCTTGGCCCTGAGGCTTGTGTGTTTGAGACCCTTCCTCTACCAGATAACCTGCTGAGTGGTGGACAGCATCATTGACTGCAGCTTTTAGGCAGAAGGGGTAGGTTAGTCCCTCTCCGCAGGTCACTGATCCAGCCCCACAGGGAGGAGGGATTAGAGAACAGAAGAAACAGTCAGAAATAACAGTGATGATGATGATGATGATGATGATGATGTGCTAAGCACTTGCATTTGAGTGAGGATGTGTGTGGTTCCCACCCTAGGAAGTGATGCTTGGCCTGGGAGAGGCTGGGACAGCTCCTATGTGAGTGGGACCCTGGATTGGCTCTTTTATCCCAGATTCGCTACCCCCACCCCCATTTTGTCTAGCTCACCCATGGTTTGAATTGGAGCATGAAAAGAGGGTCCAGGAGGGACGGGAGAGCAGCCCCTGCTGCTGTATTCCCATGGGGTGGACAGAGATCCCTGAAGCCTCAGGGGAGCAAGAGAAACTTTCCAGCTCATTCAAAGCTATAAGAGGATACCTTTTTTTCATTCTTTTTTTTTATTTTTTAAGGAAAATGGATTTGAACATACTGTCTTTCTCTTTTTTTTTTTTTAGGAGTTTACTTGCTAAAGAATAAAGAATTTCCATTTTACAATATAGTATATTTTTTTTCAGAAGTCTGGTAGAAATTAACTTCTTTAATTTACTTTGGAAAAAATCATTTTCCCCAGGCGAGCTGCTGCATCCCAAGGCTTTGCCAGGTTTGCGAGTGACAGTGGGGGATAAATGAGGGCGCTTCAGGACCCCGCACACCTGGGTTTCATGTAGCCCCGCCGTTTATTAAGAATTGTTGTGTAAAGTCACTGAGCCTCGATAGAATAGGCTTAAGAGCATCTCCTTGCTGAATTGTCTTGATTGGTGATAGTGTACAAAGCCCTGGACATGCTGTAAAGCACTACCAAATAGTTTATAATAATAAATGTGGTTCTTATGCCTGAGAAACAAACTTGGTGTGAGTGGGGAGAAAAGGAACACAAAGAAAGAAAAAAAAATCCCTGTTTGCATTATGGTTAGAGTGAAGATCCGGTTTCTAGGCTCATCATTGTCGTCAGGGACCCCTCCCCCACCCAACCCCCAAAGCAAGCAGATACAGGAATCTCCACTTTCGGGAGATCTGCTGAGTCATCACAGCCTTGGGAAAATGTGCCTCTGGGGGTGAGAACTGAAGGCACCCCAGGGAAACGTGGACGGTTGTTAGGTTGTGTGAAGGTCAGTGTTTCTTCCATTTGGTCTCTTCCAAATGGCTCTCCATAGTGAAATGAGGGGAAAAGATGTCAAAATTGTATTTCAATGAAGTATTACTGGGGACAGTAGAGGAAGACACACTGATTGAACACAAACTTCTTGCCCTGGGACCATTATCTAATCAGCCTTCTCTCTCGGAGCTGTTCTTATCAGCGGCTTCCTGTGACGTTCTCATTTTATCATCTGGAAGGATTTCTGACTGCCAAGGGTTTGTCCAAACCCATAATCAGCTTCTTGGTGTTTCTACGTATCTGTTTATTTCTAACTTTTGGTGTGAATCATTCTGAACAGCTATGAGATTCTTGTCCGCAACCCTGGAGATTGAAGAATATGCATACAAGACGCAAAGGTGGGGAGAGGGGGACCTGCTAGACACAGGGGGCCACATACCAGGTCTTAGCTGTGGCCCCATCCCCCAGGAAGCCCGCACACCATTGCCCTGGTGACTCACAGCTGGTACCTTCATCAGGTTCAGTTCTGACACTTAGATTTACAGCACCGTGATTGACTGACCATAAACATTGCTCTCTTGAAATAACATTAGGCAGAGCTGGCTAATAAACATCAATGAAAATCAGCTTCGATTCTCAAGAACTGCAAGCTTTATATGAATCATTTGATGTCAGATGACGGGCCTTCCCTGTTATAGAGCATCTGGAAACTAGAGGCGGGCCAGAGAAAAAGGGACCTCGCCGCTGGTCCCGTAGCTCTTTGAGTTTTCTCTGTGCTAGACCATATCTTACTGCATTGCAATAAGTTATTTTCATGTCAGTCACTCCACAAGCCTCGAGGCCAGGGACGTGCCCCATTGTGCTGTGTGTCTGCTCGTGGCGTGGTGTCACATATGGCTCAAAGTAATCAGAGCTGGAAGGGTTTTCCTCTCTCCTTGATGAGGGGAAAGAGCACAAGCTTTGAAGTCAGTTGGGCCTTGATACAAATAATCGCTCTTTGTATTAGTTTTCCTTGTTCTGTAACAAATTACCCTGAATTTAGTGGCTTAAACCATCCTGAACGTATTAGCTCACAGTTCTATAGGAGGTAGACCAAAGGGAGGGGTCCCGCTGGCTCAGCCAGCTTCCCTGCTTAGCATCTCACCCGGCTGAGGCCACGGTGTCAGCCAGGCGGGCCTCTTACCTGGAAGTTTTGGGGAATCAGCGTATTCAAGTGCGTTCGGGTTGTTGGCAGAATCCACTTTCTGGTGGCCTCAGGCCTGTGGTTGCCTTCTCCTTGCTGGTCAGCCAGGGGCCACCCTGTCCCCTGGAGGGTGACACATTCCTCCCACATGGCCACCTCCTTCCTCAAAGTCTGCACAGGGTCCCTTTCCTACTCCAGGTATCTCACGTCCTGTCCTCTCTGCTACCTGGAAACCTTGCAAGAGTTTGACTGAGAATTAAATAAGGCCAGGCTGCGAGGACCTCCTTGGCGAGGGTTAACTCTTTCTAATCCTTCTCTCATTAAGCCAATTTTATTTTGCTGATTCAGATACAGCAAACTTATAAAGGACCGTCTCTATCTGAAATACTGGTCATTCTAAAAAGGTGTCGTGTGTGATTCATCGTCTTCCCATGTGGAGGAATAAATGAGAGACCAGAAGGGCGGCATGCCCTCATCAAAACTTCCCTGATTTTTTCTTCCTCCCCCTGCCCCCTACGCAAAGTGTTGGCATCTCTGCCTCAGCTGCTGTCTCCGGGAGCGCTGGGGGTGGGGGCTGGCTGCTAGTGTCCTCGGACAAGTGGTGGCCCCTGCTCGGAGGCCGGCCCGCCAGCAGCTGGCCCCTGCCACTCAGCGGAGGCCGAGGCTGGGCGGAGGATGCCTGCTCAACCCACTCCCTGCCTGCCCTGTGCTTCCTCAGGAGATCCTTCGTGAGCTCACGCTGGATGCCCTGCTGGACATGAACGAGGCCAAGGTGAAGGAGACGCTGCGGCGCTGCGGGGCCAACGCCGAGGAGTGCGGCCGCCTGCAGTACGCCCTGACCTGCCTGCGGAAGGTGACCGGCCTAGGTAGGTAGGGCCAGCCCCGTTGGCTCCCTCTCCCTCAACCTCTGCCTGGACACTGGCCTCCTCTCCCAGACCCAGTTCCCTGGGCACCAGGGCTCTTGTTGGGAAGGCTGATAGGCTTTGCCGTTGTGACCCAGGCTTTCTGGGCCAGCTTGGAACTAGCAGGATTGATGCTCAGAAAGGGTGTGATGGGCCTGACCCGAGGCCGAGGACCTCCCCGAGATGGGGGGCTCCCAGATCTCAACTGGCCTGGCCAGTGTGAAGCTTTAGCCTTTGTTAGAGACCCCAGGCCGATCTGCTGGACATGGCCTGCGTGATTCCCTCTCTGCAGAGCGGTCTGTCGGGCTCTATGACCCTTCTGCAACTTCCTGAGTCCCAGCCCCCTCCCCACCCAGCTCACCTCCAGCCCTCTCCCGACCTTCTCTGCCCCATCGCCAGCCGGGCTGTGGGTTCAGAAGGCACACACCAGCGCGGGCTTAGCCTGAGCCAAGCATGATGAGAGGAACTGTACGTGTTTCAGCTGTGAGTGTGGACGTGGCCGCCCCAGGCAAAGCGGGTAACCCTGGCACTATGAATCATGTTCCTCGGGGGTCATTTCCAGGCTTTGTAAATCTTGCCTTGGAAATAGTTTCAAATGCCCTGACTTAACGCTCCCGCTGCCACACAGATAAGGCTTTAAAGTGAGCCTTAATGAATGGAATTAGCTCCATTTTTTAATTACCCGAGCCACTTGTCTTAGCTCTGGCTTCCTGAAGCTTAACGAAGGTGCTGAGGTTTAGATTCCGCTTGATTTTTTTTTTTTCTCCCAGAGAGGATTGGGCTTAATTTCTTTCCTGGCCTTGTACTAAACCTTCCTCTGAACACAGAGCCCAGAGCTTCACTCACTTTGGAAAACCTCAGCACGTTAGGCCCCTGCAGGTGTCAGGGAGTAAACAGGACAGAGACATGGTTAGCATTCTTGTCCCCACATTTTGCAGAGGAGGAGACAGAGCCCAAAGAGGGGAAGGGGAAAGGGAAGGAGCTTAGCCAAGGACACACAGCGTTCGGTGGCAGAGCCGGGATTCAAGCCTCGGTCTCTGATGGTGTTTGAGTTGTTTCCACTTTGTGAATGGGTTTAAAAGTATTTGCCTGCATTGTGAAGAGTTGTGGAGGAGCCAGATGTTGGGTGGTGATGTGTACTAGGAAGGCTGCTGTTTGCCCATCTTTGATGCCAACATAGGGAGATCACTAATTTACGAAGCACCTGTCTTGTGCCTGGCACCCGATATATACCGCAGCATCCTTTGGGAGGTGGTGGTGGTGAGCTCCTTTTGTAGCTAAAGCATCCAAGCATTGGAGGCCCTGGGGTAGTTATCTGGGGTCCAGCACCTGACACTTGGCAGAGCTGGGCTTGGCACTCAGGTGTCTTCCTCAGAGGATGCTTTTTCCACTATGCCCCAGAGGAGACCCTGGGCAGAAGGCCCGCTCCAGGTGCTTCTCTCTCATTCGATCTTAGCTTGTATCCATACATCCCCAAGAGGGACCTTCCACCCCCCAGTCCAGGACGCAGGCAGGTGGGTGGGCCTGCCCAGTGGTGGCTGCCCTTCAGGGGCACCTGCTGGGGTCTGAGTGGTAGCAGTGTTCACTCTGTCCCTCAAGTCATGCAGTCAGAGTCTTCAAGGCACCTAGCAGGACCAGGTGAGAGCAATGTAGTTGCAGTAAAGGTAGACTGTGGAATTAGACTGCCTGGACCCAGCACTCTGCTCAGCCACTTGAAAACCATGGGACCTTGACCAGTTACTTCACCTCACTGTGCCTCAGTTTCCTTATTGTAAAATGGACATGCTAGCAACATTTCTCTCATAAAATTGTTGTGAGGATTAAATGAGTTAAGATCAAGTACTAAGTCTGGAGCGTGGCACCTATTAGATGCCCATTTCAGTGTTAGGCCTGTGGGGTGATAGAAAACGCTGACATCTCTCTTTTTAAGAAAGGTGATGAAGGAAGTTTAAGCCAGTGGCTGGTGAACAGGGGAAGGTCACACTTGCTGATACTTCCTATCCTTCATCTGTAGCAGGCATCACTAATCAGTCCCCGAGCTCTTCCTACTAAATGACTCAAGTCATTCTCAAGCAGCCACTGCCAATTGACTGGTGTTGGCATGCACGGTGAGACCCATCAGCCATCCCTGAGCTGACACAGAGCAGTGGTGATTAAGTAGGCAATTTGAAGAACTTGGGCCTTTCTCCCTGTCCTCACCCCTTCGGTATCTCCCCATCTCCTGTAAGGTCAAACCTCAAGCTCTTGGCAAGACACCCAAGGCCCCTCTGGAGCTGGCCCCGGGTGGGCTGACCCTTCAACTTCCTCTCTCGTCTCTCTCTGGCTTGTCCTGACCTCTCAAGGCACCCGGAACTCTGTAGTTGCCAGAAGGTGCCGTGTGCTCCCTGCCTTTGCACGTGCCACTCCCTCCCCCCTGCCCCCGCGCCCCGTGCACCTTTTCCACTTCTTCCTTAGCTGGCTCAGCCCAGATGCCACCTCTTCCAGGAAGCCCCTGACCACCAGGCTATTTAGGACAGACCCTCCTCTGTCCCCACTCTGTTGCCACGCTTCTCTTCAGGTACCAGGGATGTGTCTTTTTTTATGTCTTGACACCCAGCATTCAGCACATGCTTGAATGAATGGACAGACTGTGTCACTGAGTTGTAGCCCACAGAGTCTCAAGGTCCCAGGGGCCTCCAGCAGAGGGTCACCGTGGGGACAGCTGAAAGTCACTGACAGGCTTCTCTCAAAAGGAAGTAGCTGTTGATCCCTTTCTAGCTGGATCTCTTTTCTAGCAAACTCCCAGGGCAGTTGGCTCTTGGAAGGTCGGAGTAGCGCCCTTTCCTGATGTTTGGGTTTTCTTGGAGTGGAGTTATCCCTTCATGCAGCCCAGCTTCCCTTTCCGGACTCTAAAGCGCAGTCAGCACTTCCCTCTCTGAGGTCACCCCCTTTGGGGGTGGGTTTCCTGACTGGCTCATCACAGACCTGCCAGCAAGAGCCCTGCACAAGCCTTTCCTTCTCTGGGCCTTGTTTCCCCTCCAAGAAATGGGGACAGTGATATCTACACTGGTGCCCCCATAGTCAGCCAGGTAATGCGGAAGGCGGTGTGTGTGACCTTTGTAACATGGGTGAAGGCAGCAGTTGGAGCCTTCCACTGAGGACCCATGCTGCCAGACTCTGGCTGCCTTGCCTGTGAATCCCTCTAGCCCCAACCACCTGTGACTCGACTCCTTGGCCTGCAGGAGGGGAGCACAAAGAGGACTCAGGCTGGAGTTCGTTGGATGCCCAGCGGGAAAGCAGCTCCGGGATTTCAGTGGACACCCTCTCTCCAGCCAGTCCCTGGCCCCTGGGGAGCTCCCAGTTGGGCAGAATGGGCAGTGGTGCCCAGGGCCCACGTTCCATCTCTGTGTCAGCTCTGCCGGTCTCGGACTCCCCAACCCCCGGCCCCGGTGAGGGCCTCTCGGACCCCTGTATCCCCCTGCACGCCGGTGGCCGGCTGAACCCCCGTGCCCTGCACAGCTTCATCACCCCGCCGACCACGCCCCAGCTCCGACGGCACACCAAGCTGAAGCCGCCGCGGACGCCACCCCCGCCCAGCCGCAAGGTCTTCCAGCTGCTGCCCAGCTTCCCCACGCTCACCCGGAGCAAGTCCCACGAGTCTCAGCTGGGGAACCGCATTGATGAGGTCTCCCCGATGAGGTACGTGTTCCTGCCTGGCTGGTGCTGAATGTGCCACCTGCTGAACGTTCTGACTACATACAGTTTTCTCATTGTAAAGGTGATACAGGCTCGATTTAGGAAGGACATTTGTAAAACCAGCCAAAGTAAGAGTGTGAAAAGTAAAAAGTGAAAGATGCCCTTATCTCTCAGTCCACTCTCAGGCTACCTTATCAGTTTGGGCAGATTCCTACTAGATTTCTTTCTATTGTTTTTTTTTAAATTCAAGTACAGTCAGTTACAATGTGTCAGTTTCTGGTGTACAGCACAATGCCCCAGTCATGCATATACATACATGTATTCCTAGACTTTTATTTGTAAACACACATACACACAATAGGAAATGATACTATGTGCTAGCCAGGGATAGACCGGGTTATGCTGCACTAACAAATACCCCCAGATCTCTGGGTCATAAAATAACGAAGATCCCACTGCTGGTGACTGGGCTTCAGGCCCTGGGATTCTGAGTTGGGGCCCCACAGAGCCACTGAAACTGGCACTGACCTGGGTGCTCAGGCCACCCTGCTGCCCTTGGTGAGCCCTGAGGACAGACTGAATGGCCTGTGTTCCCAGCTATTTTCATCCCTGGGTCAGTGGCACCCCCAGGAGGCATCGCTCAGGGCCCGTCCCTGCCTTGCCCTGCTTGGGGGCCACCTCTCTGCTCTTACAAACTGTCCTCCTCGCCTCCTGCCCCAGCCACTTACTCTCAGGCTGACTGAGCCCTCCTCCTGCCTGGACCGAGCACCCCTCCTCCCAGGGTTCTGGGCAGCACGGCTTCCCCACCTACGGGCCCATGACCTTGGGAAGCTGTGAGCCTGTTTCCTCAGCCATAAAGTGGAGTGAACTCTGATCACCATGCAGGTGGCTGGTGGGGCTTAGAAAAGCGAATGCATTTAAAGAATGCGGCGCAGGGTGTAGCTGCACCGTGGTGACGTAATCCTGCCTTCTCTCTCTTTTGTCTCCTCCAGGTTTGGTAAGAGTGATTCATTTTCATCCCCTCTGCTACCTGGGAGTCCTGTTGGTGTCGCTGTCCCCATCGGGGGTGGATTTCTTCACCCCTTGCATAGTCCTCTGGCCTTTCCATGGTCCAGAGGCAGAGGTGCTGGGATCCACCTCAGGAAATAGCTCTAGGACAGGCAGCCCCAAGTGACAGGGTAGCCTCAATCCAGCCAGCAGCTGCTCTGCGAAGTGGCGACCTTGGGAGCTCCACAGTCCGCGGGTGGCCCTGTGATGGGCCCCACCTGTCCCTTGCCGTCCCCACAGGTGACCTCTGGCAGGGAGCATTTACCTGTTAGGTGCCCCGGCGATGCACCCCTCTAGCCTGTGATCTCTGAAACAGCAGGTCGTAGGCACACG